GTGAGTTTTAAGCCACCAGGTCAGGAAAGCAAACCGTGTCCGACTACGTGGGAGTCCAGCGACACAGCCATTACGCTAACTGCTGGTTCCCCCTGCTTCGATTTCTTTAGTAAAGTTTATTTCTTCTTGGGGCCAGCAGGTGGCGTGATGGTGAAGGCTCCGGGCTCCCACGTGGCCAGCTGCACAACTCGGAGTCTTAGACCTGGTGGCTTGAAAATCACACCAGGGGGACCAGCAGGTGGCGTGGTGGTTAAGGCACTGGACACTCCCACATGGCCGACCAGGGTTCGAGTCCTGGACCTGGCAGCTTGCTTTCTCACTTTCTCTCTCTCTCACCCTCTGTCTCTCTCTGGTCAAACTAAAAAAATAAATGAATGAATAAATAAAATTAAATAAAATAATTATTTTAAAAAAACACACCAGGCACGTGTGCATGCGTGCCCCAAATCCTAGAGACTGGAGAAGAAACTGCAGCACTGCCACCTGCCTCTGGTGGGTGGCTCCCGTTCCCTCTCACTGTCTGTCTCCCGGGAGCACACGAGGTCTATGGCAAAAACTTTAAAAGCTGAGGTGGGCAGACACGTGGTAGTTGGGGCACTGGATGCCCACAGGCTGATGGCAATTCGAGTCCTGAACCCTGCAGCTTGAAACACACTAGGTAGAAAATGACTAACTAAAGAAAGAAAGAAAGAAGAAAGGGGAGGGACCAGCAGTTGGCGTAATGGCTACATCACTGGACTCCCACGTAGCCGACTGCAGTTCGAGTCCCGGACCCAGCATCTTAAACTCACGCCGGGTGCGTGTGCGTGTGTGCCCAAGATCCCGAGAGGAGAATGGAGGAGAAGGGACTGCGGCATGGTCATCCCCCCTGGGGGGGTGATTTCTCGCTTTCTGTCTCTCTGTCTCTCTCTGTCTTTCTGGTGAGCAGATGTGCCCTATAGCAGAAACCTCTCTTAAAAAAAAAAAAAAAAAACGATTCCAGGGCCAGCAGGAGGTGTGGTGGTTAAGGTGTGGACTCCCACATGGCCAACCACGGCTCGAGTTCCAGACCCGGCAGTTTGGAAATCGTGCCGGGTGCATGTGCGTGCATACCCAAAATTCTAAAAGGAGGGAGAAATGGAGGAGAAGGGATTGTGGTGTGACCATTCCCCCTGGGGGTGCTTTCTCACTCTCTTTCTCTCTGTCTCTCTCTCTAGCAGCCACAGGTGGCTTCTGGCAAATAAAAAATAAAAAAATGCCAGGGCCATGGGAAGGCATTAGCTCAGCTCCCCAAATCGGCCCAACACCAGACCCCTGTGACCTCTGCACTGCCATTATCTCCACTGAAGTACTCTTCCCTCGCCTGGGTTCACGAACTCCTACTCCGCCCGCAAAGCCCCACTGCAATGCCCCACGTCCTGGCCACTCTCGCCCTTCCCCTACTGAGACTCTCGCAGGAACCGTGTCCCCCACACCCCGCTCCCAGTACCCTGCAGGCCTTACCTTTTTGTCCCACTGCTGATGTAAGTAGCGCAAGAGGATATTCGTCTTTTCTGTCACAATGACTGGAAGGAAAGACAGAAGAAGTCGCAGAGAATGTTGCAAGGGGGCCGGCAGGTGGCGTGGGGGTTCAGGGTGCCGGATCCCACGGGGCTGATTTCGCTGGCTGAGTCCTGGACTCAGTGACCTGAAAACCGTGCTGGGCATGTGTGAGTGTAAGTGTAATTATGCCCCAAATCCTGAGAGCAGAACAGAGGAAAAACAGAGAAGGTATTGCCTCTGGGGGATGCTTGGTTTCTTTTCTTTTCTTTTTTTTTTTTAAGAATTATTTTATTTAAAATGTATTGCTTATTTCAATTTGATCTGAGAGAGACAGAGTGAGAGAGAGAGAGAAAGTGAGAAAGCAAGCTGCCAGGTCCAGGACTCGATCCATGATCGGCCATGTGGGAATCCAGCACCTTTACCCACCATGCCACTCGCCCCCCGAGGGGATGCTTTCTCATTTTCCCCCACCTCTCTCTCTGTCTGTCTCTTTCCACAGAGTCCACATGCTCCATCGCAAATGGACAAAAAAATATATATATATAAATAAAATAGCAAGGATGCCTCCTACAGGCTGGCCTCCGTCCTGGCCTCTGGGACAGGCCCTGCTCTCCTGGCTCACCGGTGCCCTGGGTGTTCTTTCTGGGACCCCAGGTCAACACCTCCAACCCGGGAGACTTCTTTTTTTTTTTTTTTTGGAGAGGTTTTTGCTATAGGGCGCGTGTGCTCGCCAGAACAGAGAGAGATAGAGAGACAGAAAGCGAGAAGTCACCCCCCCAGGGGTGATGGCCACGCCGCAATCCCTTCTCCTCCATTCTCCTCTCGGGATCTTGGGCACGAACGCACACGCGCCCGGCGTGAGTTTAAGCCGCTGGGTCCGGGACTCGAACCGCAGTCGACTACACGGGAGTCCAGGGACATAGCCATTACGCCAACTGCTGGTCCCAACCCGGGAGACTTCTAAAAGCCCAGGGTTCTCTCTTCTCAGCATGCGGCCACTACGGGGACCTGAGCTGGCCCGGTCCATGGCGGTGCCTGCTTCCTGAGTGGGATCCCACCCTCAGAACCACAGAGTGACAGAGGGAGACGGAGAAAGCACCCCTGATGGGGAGCGCTCACGTCCCAATCCCTTCCCCTCCTTCTCCGGGTCCTGTTGGGATCTGAGGCATGCACACACAGGTACCCAACGTGGTTTCAGGCTGCCAGGACTGGGATTCGAACCGAGCCACCAGCCATGTGGGATGCAGTTCCCTTAACCACTAGGCTATAGGGCTGGCCCGGGATGGGCTCTGAAAAAAATAATTTATTTAATTTTATCTATTATTATAATCTGCTATAGGGTACATGCACCCATCAGAGACAACAGAGAGAGAGAGAGAGAGAGAGAGAGAGAGAAAGCCATCAGGTCCAGGAGGATTTGAACTGGGGTCGGCCACGTGGGAGTCTAGTCTCTTAATCACCATGCCACCAGCCAGCCCCTAGAAGGATTATTACCTTTATTATGATTTATTTAGTTATTTATTTTACTTGACTTTTTTTCTTTTTCCTTTGGAGAGGTTTTTTGCTACAGGGTGCGTGCGCTCGCCAGAAAGAGAGAGACAGAGAGACAGAAAGCGAGAAATCACCCCCCCAGGGGGGATGGCCACGCCACAATCCCTTCTCCTCCATTCTCCTCTCGGGCTCTTG